CATCTCTTAAAATAGAAATTATGTTCTTTTACTAGAGTAGACTTTATACACGTAATGTGTACACACACATGTGAAGCGCACACACAGGACAAGTGACCTTTTTTTTCAAGGCGGCTGCAAGAAAATGTTGATCCATAGATGGCGGGAAATGAGCTTTCCCGACTTCTGATGTGTCTTTTAATGACTTTTAGGTCCATCAAAATTCAAGGTCGCCCCCCCCCCCTCTTGAAAACGATTCCATGAATCAATGAACCCCAAAGAGAAAGGTGGGTTCGGGTTCTCCCCAGGAAAATGTTGATTTCTAAATGACAGGAAATGAGCTTTCCCGACTTCTGAAGTGTCTTTAATGACTTTCTTGAAGTTCTTAAAAATCCAAGGTCCCCTCTTCCCCCTTGAAAACGGTCTGGTAAATTTTTCTTATTCTTATTACAGTAAATAGGCCTGTACCGGTATACATACTTTGCATACGTATTCTTTTTTCCGTGAATCGATGAACCCCTAAAATAAATGGTCGGGGGTCCTCCCCGAGAAAATGTTGATTCCTAAATGACGGGAAATGAGCTTTCCCAACTTCTAATTTTGTATTCAAGGACTGTATTCTTTATTCAGATAAAAATATAAATTAAAAATTACGAACAGACAGCCAAAAGACTGTATATGAGTGTATTACAATAATTGAATCAGAACACCAAAATTCAAGAAATTCTCAACACAAACATACAAAAGAAACAATGGATAAAAAACACAGCAACAGACATAAAACCAATGATTAAAATAGAAGAAATAAAAAAGGTATATAAAAAACACATTAATTAAAAATTGATTTTTTAAAATTTTAACAAAAGAAATTCAGCTCACGGGTCCTGAAAATGTAGGTATAGAATTCATTTTATTTTTCTTTTTTTTCCCAAGGGGGGTGGGGGGGGGGGGGTTAGGACCTCCCAGGTCCGCCAATGTGAATTGTTAAAAAATTTAACTCGATCGGGAACTGGATAAACGCTCTCTTTCCCTTCCTCCCCTCCTTCTTTCCTCCTTCTTTTCTTGCATTTTTTTCCAATCATATAAAAATCTCCAAAGACATATATTTTCTGCCAAAAAAGAGGGGGCCCGAGGTGTGCTTGATGAACATACAGCCCTGCAGAAACTGTTCCCTGGTTTTACTGGTTGGATTGTTGTATACTCAAATACAAATAATGACTAGCTGCAAATACAATTTTTAAAGGTTTAGTATTTTATTATAAAAAATACCATAACGAACGATTTACAATGCAGACGTTTCATCACCGATACTATGGTTTCATGTAATCAGTATGTATGTAGCATATGGAAGTTTGTAACATCGTTTTCTTGAGTGCAAAGTCCAACCATAACCTAAACAATATCAGTATTTTTGTAAACAAATTAAATGATCTTTTTTTAAGTTTGATAAAATACCAAATATTATAATATCTGCTTGGACGTCGACCCATTAAAAGAAAGCATTAATTAATAACTGGGTCAATGCTAACAGCTAGAAATTTAAGCCTAAAGGTCTTTAATATAAAAAAAGGACATGTGCCTACTAATATCCTTATACGAATAATAATATAATGTGTTCCAGATATTTTAGCCTAAAATCAATTATTTCCTATACAAAATATGTGACTCAAGAAGTTAGCAAAACAGTGTAAAACACTTGTTGGCTTTCTCGGACAGTAAATGTCAACGGTGCTTAAGTTAGCGATGATCAGATCTATTACCGGTACCATGTGACACTATGCAAGGACAGTATCCAACAACTATAAAGAAAAAAATCAAAACGAAGAGTTAAAATCTGTATATTTTTGGCCTCCTATCAACATTCACCACACGGAATTCAGAAAGCAACAAAATACGATTCTATGTTCAAAGTAAACAATTGGAACGAACTATCACACTCCCTAACATCTCTCCATTCCCAAATCTTGAAGTCGAAATCCAACTTAATATCGAGTAAACACAACTGTACCCATGGACCATGGATCAGCGACCCGTCCGTTCCAAAGTTTATAGATGAAAACCCATGATTTTGTTCATATCACTGGTGATTTGAACCCAGAATAACCGTGAGATTAAAAGACAAACATCTTAACGACCAAGTTACAGCTCCATCACTCAGTGAAGGATTCGAACCAAGGACCCTGAGATCGGAAAGCAACGATCTTTACCGCTACCAACATGCTACTAACAGCTTCACCACCTTCATAATATTATTCTTTTTAATAGGTTCATGAAATCCCTTTTTGAGGCTACTTATTAATAACTTACTTATTTTACAAGTTGGTCCGATGAAACCAAAAGGGCAACGACAAAAGCTTTTTGAATTGCTAGTAGTATAACACGTTCCACCGTTCAAACATACAATATCACATGTGCCTGAAAAATAATGTAGGTTCATATCAAAGATTAATTATTAGGTCCTTGTTTATATACACAACTACAAAAAATACAACTGCAACAAAAACGACAACAAAAACAAAAAAACAATTAAACAATAAAAATATTTACTTACTATGTCTGTTTGTACAACAGAACATAGGACTTTTCCTCATTGCTATAATGAGAAATGAAGTTGAAATTGCAACAAGAAAAGTCGTTAAACGTATAAAGTAAAAAAAAAGACGGAAAACCAAAATAATTATAGTACTAAAAAATTATGAAGAAAAAAAATTACAGCCACAGCGTTGGTGATGGCGAGGTACATCGAGACTCATAAACATTGCGCGCTATTTTATGAGCCGACCTTGTGTTAGCCATTGCATTTTCCGTGCAGAAAAAGTGACTGAAAGCACAAATTGTCCATGCATATCACGGTAGTTTTGCGTTTTGAGTCTAACCTATGAGCTGCAGCTGGTTTAAAAGCTTTATTACAAAAACGCAAATTGCGTTTATATGTTAGTCCACTGTCCACAAAAGTCTTTAAATCTTTAAAAACTATTCTGCAAAGTTTTATTTTCATCCATTTATAACTGGGACTTAAGCAATTTAAATGTCCCTTAAATTTACAACCTAACCTGGATTGTCACCAGCACAACAACGTTTTCCTTGTAACTTGGTAAAACTTTCCCAAACATTTTTATTTCACAAATATAAAAGGTGATTTACTTAATTTATCATTATCATGACATGGGTGGATCCAGACATTTTCTAGGGGTGGGGGGGGGGCAATAGGTCGAACACGGTTGATCACCTCAGCCCCATCCATGATGGATCAAATTTTAAGAATATGCCCCTCTAAAAACGCTCGAAAATGACACTCAGATGGTAAAAATGCTTTTTGAAAGCAGTCTCCTCGACCAAATTATTGACTTTTGCCGACAGGAGATCTCCTCCCCTTCTCTTGGAGATCGCTTCCTTCACGGGCGTCTCGCATTGACTAATATGGACCTATAGTCCTGAGGGTCGGTGGCCATATGCCGACCGATGCACGAGAGCGCATAAGCGTTACGCCACTGAGCATTGACTGTTCTAGCTTAGTACATTCCGGTAATGCGGCTAAAAAAAAACCCCCGTCTTAGGTCTCCGTCTTTTGACCTTTTTTACATCCTGGTTTATGAAATCGTTGGAAAAATAATCGGCGTCGGGGATATAGCGTAACGTTGTGTTCGCCGTCAATCATGTCGTATCCATAAAATCGATGGAGTGTTTGGTTACTGAGATGGTTACGAATTGTACAAACAATTGCGTTTTTACTCAGTATTGGGCACTTCGAACAGACCACAACACAAGTGAATACACAAAATTCATGAAAGTCATTCGTAATTGTTTTTTTTTTCCACACGCTTAGAAGAGTGGCGTTTTAGTGAAAAGTTGTGGGGGGGGGGGGACAATTGATATGATGTCCCCCACTTTGAAAAGTCCCCTACTTTGAAAAGTTCCCTCACTTTTAAAAGTCCCCCACCGATCGACGCCCATGCCTTAAGGGGATCGTCCCCAACACATTATAATTCCTTCCTTTTAAACTTTGTTAAACTTTCCCGAAAGTTTTATTCAGGTCAATTGACCAGTTTTTTAGTATCAAGTGGTGTAAACTGTTTGCCCTTAAACCGTTTTAATTGGTCCTCACATGCACACCCCACCCTAGCTTGACACTAAATATTAGGGAAGTGACCAAAGTGCCGGGCAGAAAAATCCAGTGCAAAAATAGAGGGAAAAAGTATGCAAGAAAAAAGAAAAAAAATCAGAACAAAAACAATGGCTTTTCCAGCTACTGCTGGGAAAAGCAAATAAAAATATTTATCTGTATCATTAGTTTTAAATTATATTACATATTGTTATGAACAATAGATTTATCGGAAGTCTAAGTGATGTCTGGCCTCCCAATGATTAAGGATGAAATAAGAGCTGATGTAAAGAAGATGGAAAGAGGCAAAAGCCCAGGAGATATAAGATTACAATCGAAATGATAGAAACAGTAGGGAGAAAGATTGAAAGTGTGATCGCAACTCGCAAATAAAATATACGACACTGAGTACATCTATATTTTACCCCTATTCCAAAACAACAAGGCACTGTAGAATGTAATGAACACAGAAATATTTGTATAATGAGTTATGTAACAAAAAATTATCCTGGGAAGGAATAATAAAAGAATGGACGACAAAAAAAAAAAAAAAAAAATATCAGATAGGCCTTAGGCATAGGCGAGAAGCAGCTTGGCAGAATTGTAACATCAAATGGAAAGTGTGACACTAATATCAAGACCAGGATTGCCTTGCAAAAGTTGCGTTTACTTTAATAAAATAAAGAGTACCACTATCTTAAAATCTGACTAAATAAGCATATGATACAAGACTTCGGGTGTTGAAATCGTATGTTTGGTCAACCATACTTTCCGGATCTTGGACCATTAGCAAAGCTATGAAGATGAATCAATCAATCGACCAATCCAGTATTTATTCACGGTAAACTTTTCAACCGTTTAAATATATCAATATAAAATCAGTTGTTTTTCAAAAGGTCGTGATTGACTATAATTTATTCTAATAATTTACTCGTGAAGGAACTACTCGTGAAGTAGGTGCAGATCAAAGGTCATATGGTAAACTGTTCCATAGAACTGCCCCTTGATAACTAAGACCTTTTTTTTCAGTTCAATATTAGGTTGAACAACAACAATTCAAGATTACCAATGCCTCGCAGATTGTACATACTTTAAGCTAATATACAGAGGCGGATTTAAGGAGGCCAAGCCGGCCCGCTCCCCCCTCCCCCCGAAATACATTTTTGATATACGATGGGGATGAGTGAATTTAAAGTTTTGTATATTAAAACAATTAGTTCCTTACGACTTGCCCAACCTAGTCTTGTAAACACCGTTTTACCCGATTCGTCCCATCTACAGTTTAGATTTTTTTCATATTAATCCAAAGTTAGGAGGCTGCAGAGAGGTTTCTAATAAGAATTTTGAAGATTCCGTGGACTGTACATGTATCCAATGACTTAGTGTTACAAAGAGCTGGTACAAGAAGGCAATTAATGAATAGTATAAGGAACAAACAGCTAAAGCTCTTTTGGCATGTAATAAGGAGAGAACAATAAGAAGAAGTAAGTGTAACCGGGAAAAATTTATAAGAAAGCAGAGAGGCAGCCCAAGAAAAAAAATACAAGGACACTGCATCATTTTAATTGGCATTAACTCAAACATTGACATCATATATAACACCAAAAAACGATATAAATGGAGCAGCATGGTCGTCAATACAACAGGCATGGCCCCCCTCTAAGGTAAGGTATAGATTTACAGCACAATTACCAGATGTTCCGCCAGATGATTCCGATTCTCCGCCCGAGTGCGAGTGTCCACCAGAGTTAGAGTGTCCACCTGATGTTCCGCCAGAGTGCGAGTGTCCACCCGATGCTCCGCCCGAGGCTCCACCCGATGCTCCGCCCGAGTGCGAGTGTCCACCCGATGCTCCACCCGAAGCACCACCCGATGCACCGCCCGAGTGCGAGTTTGACTTTAGAAACACTAAATTATATTGCAACTGCTACCTACAAGATAATATGTAGCTTGAAAAGTTGCTCCACTATTTTGTGAGTCCTCAAGTTGTATGAAGGGAGAGAGACACCCGTCTTAGATCCGTAATGATCGTATGGGCCTCTGTGGTCTAAACGGTATGACGCTCTCCGGGATAGGGAGAGATTGTGGGTTCGATCCCATCAGATACCTCTTTTTCCCATACAACTATAATAAGGAACTTTCGTTGATGGACTATGTTTGATACGATTTATAACATCATGTTCCTATATATTTGAGCACTGTATTATTATCTATTTGATATAGGCCTATACATTATTTGTGATACCTGTGCTAACCAACAACTTGATTTGAATATTATTTCCAAGATTTACCACTGCCGTATACCTACAAACTTTTGTTCTCATTATAATTTTTCAGGTTGTCTCAACACAAGATTTGTTTTCTTATCCTCTCGGGTCTTTGCCTTCTTCCTTTTCGCCTTGAGCACCATTGGTGGAGATGTGCGTTTTATAAATCTTTATTATTATTATTATTATTATTATTATTATTATTATTATTATTATTATTATTATTATTATTATTATTATTAATATTATTATTATTATTATTATTATTATTATTATTATTATTATTATTATTATTATTATTATTATTATTATTATTATTATTATTATTATTATTATTATTATTCAGACTACATTCTGTTGCGATCGGTTGCGATGTAATCGGTGGTAATCCAAAAATTATTACTCCCGATCGCAATCAACGTACGCATTCAGACAAACACAAACAAACTTTACATTATAGGGCCTAGGCCTCCGGTGGCTAGGCCTATGTTGACAGACCTCAGCCAAACAGTGCCTGTGGAATTCGTTGTGATTCGTTGCGATCAGATTCCGTGGTAATCGGGAATAAAAAAGATTGTAGCACCCAATCGCAACGGGTAACAATTGCGATATCGATTACATATCGACTACTATTGGTGAACTTTCACACACGATTTTACTTTGCGATTGGGTGCGATTGGGTGTCGCAATTGCTACAACCGATCGCAATGCGATGCTAGTCTGAATGGGGTATTAGAGACTTCTTTATCATACAACTTTTATAGTAAGGAACTTTCGTTGATGAAATATGTTTGATACGATTTTATAACATCAAGTTCCTATATGTTTAAGCTCTGTATTGTTATCTATTTGATATATAGATTATTTGTGTCTTATTATACTTGTATGAAAAAGGGTTTCCGGAGGGAATCGAACCCGCAATATCTCTGCGAACCTACCGTTTAGACCACAGAGGCCCGTACTATGATATCATTACGGATCTAAGACCACTAGTTTCTCTTCCCTTCATACACATCGAGGGCTTACACATAAGCAAAAACTTTATTTGAATATATATTGAATATTATATATATATAAATAATATATTTTTGTACCAATGATATTTTTATATTATATTTTTATACTGCAATATTATTCACAATTTATTCGGGTTCTCTTTGCAATTAATTAACACTGTAATTTTAATGTTTTGATTTAATTTTTAACTACCCAACTAATTTTTCTATAGACCTATTGTAAATTAATTGTATTTGTATGTGTTTGTACTTCTTATAATTTTGTATTTTCATATTGTACTTCTTATAATTTTGTATTTTCATATTGATGTATTTTTCTATATTGTAGTTTTACGAGCAATGACTTTCCCTTTGGACAAATAAATTTGAATTATGAACTATTATGTTTATATATATATATTGTCGTATAGTATATGATATTGAAGGAACTTAGCCGTTAACACTGTTGAATAAATATAATATAAATCATCAAAGGTACATATACAGTGTTTAATGAGGACATGATGGAACATCGTAGGCCACCCTGTAGCTTTTCAACGAATAAAGCCCTATAAAGTCCTATAAAAAAATCATTGTGTAATAAAATTCCTCAGACGGGATTTGAACCTGCGACCTCTCGCTGACAATGCGAGCGTCATAACCACTATACCACGAAGGCTTCATGGTTGAACAGGTCCAAATACCTGGGCTGTGTATTATATTGCCTTGGTTTGGCTCTGTAATCATTAGTGGTCGTGGGACTAGTTTGGGCCCTACCTAAGCTGGTCGAACGTTTCGTTTGGGTCTGTACCCTAGCTGCATTGATGAGGCCTGGAAGGCCGAAACGGATCCGTCTGCAGATATTGGGATTCCTTCCAGTGGACGCTTAGTTTATTTTGTCATTCTGATCGGATTTTCTCTACTGTTCCGTTTTAATTTTAAATTGCATTATATGGCCGTTTGCTGTTTTATGGGTTTTTTCCCATTTGCCTTTCAAATATATATATATATATATATGTATATATATATGTATGTATGTATATGTATAATAATTTTGTACAATAATTATAAAGGGTTTTCCAATCGGATTTGAACAATATGAAAGAGAAATATATAGAACTAATACTTACCGAAAGAAAGTTTGATATGATGTGCCGTTACTGATACCAAGACACATACTTTGATGAAAGTAAGAAACTTAGCCATTCTGTGGTTGTCCTTGGTACCGTCTGCATTGGAAAAAAGAAAACAAATGAATAGGCCTGTAATTAAAATATTAGAAGGTGGAGAATTTTACAACTAGGAAGTATTTTTAATTGTAAAGTATTAAAAAAGCAAAACATTTGTTGCTTTTCATGTTCATCTGTCTATAATAACTGTGCTGTAACGACTTAATAAAATACAAAAGTTACGCACTTTTTATTCTCTATATTAATGTTAAATAGTTTGTAGTTGTTAAATAATGCCAAAAATGTGTTTTTATTTAGTTACCTACCCGCCGTGGCCGTGGCTACTGAAACAATGTATGCCATGTGGAGTAAAAATGCAGATCAGTAGCCAATATCATCAGAAAATATTTGACTTATATAAATATTAAGCAATTCAATTGATAATTACTTTTTATTGGGGTTTTTACTTTTTATGGGTTTTATTTAAATCGACTGTTAATAACTTTCATAATAAATAACACATTGTTTTAAATAATGTAATTTATTTACCCTAACGTTTTCTGTTTCAAAACAATTGTTACTCCTTCTTCTGTTTTTCTTCCTTCTTTTTGTCTTCTTATGTCATTCTTTTTCAGAACACTTCTAATAATTGCGATGGTTTAACCGATGTTACAAATTTACCATCCGCGTTGAAATTGCTGATGTCTGCAAATGATCGATATTATATGTACAGAGGTATGTATGTAAGTAGATTATAAGTACGGAGGTATGCAAGTAGATTCAGTTCATTGAGTCCCAACAAAAAGTTGTTAAAAAAAAACACAGGTGAGTTGATGGATATGGTGTCTCACTGTAGTAGGCTAATACCATTGGCAGGTCTCCAGTCTCAGGCATCAACCGATCCTTTATTCGGCGTCAAATCAAACAAACTTGAGACTACTGTTTCGAGAACTATTGAAAATATTGAGGAGGCAATTGTGATTAAAACGTGAACGCCTCTATATGCTACTTTGATTTTAGGGTGTGTTTTTGACGTGTCAACGTTGGTGTATTTACCTTCACAATTTTATCCGTTTGATTGACATCTCTCTTTTACAATACAGAATGTCTTGTGTATTCTCTATATTTTTTTTTTTTTTTCACAGATTTCTCTTCGTTAACGTTTCTGTTCAAATCGTTCCATTTATATTGCGCCAACCCAGCAATTGTTGCTCGCATTCCAACAATTGTTCGACTAGATGTTGCAATTTTCAATAACTTTCTCCTCTCCTGGGAGTCCGCTTCATGTCCTCTTCAGCCAGTAAAACGGCGCACTTTCCTCAACTAAGACAGGAGCCGAGTGGTCCAGTATGCTACACCGGGGGTAACCATGTACTCTAAAACATTTATAATGTATTTATATATATTTATACCAACCGCAAGACTGTTTATAATTTATCTCTACCATGATTTCAGTTGTATGAACAAATGTTTCTGGGAATTGAACTTGCAGCCCCTCGCTCACAAGGCGAGTGTAATACCGTTAGACCTCAAAGGCGTTTGCGATACATACCATGGGACCGGGATTTATCAATCTCAGCTTAGCAAATGTCTTAAATCAAAAATGTTGGGATATCCCTTAGCAAATATCGTAAGCTGATTTATCAAACCATCTTAGCAAAATCTTAGCTTACAAATCGTCTTAGATGGCGCATGCATGCAATCGACTTTTTAATTTTAAGCAACTTTTATGCTAAAGCAATATTGATAAACTGACTTAAGCAGAAAATGGACTTAAGGCGAAATTAAGCTGATTTCTAGTTTGATAAATCCAGCCCAGCCCTAACCCCCCTCAACACAGCCATTTTTCCTCATACAACTCTGACTTTACACTCACACAGTGGAGCCATGGTTTAGGGCTACCCTTACAGGTTGCATAACCACTGAAAAACCTTAAAGGCAAAACCAAAGTCTTTTCTAGACTTTTTTGCAAAATCAGCAGCCGAAATACACCATTATTATTATTAGTGCAACACCCTCTGCAGAACAGTTTTCTTTTCGCCCACGTTCACTCTAAGTAAACATTACACTGCAGGATGTCAAAATAGAATAATCATAAAATTAAAAGTTTACACAACAGAGATATATTTCACATATTCAGTATATCGGGTTTGCGGTGAAAACTTTAGTCTGAATACAATAAAATCCCTCTCTAAGGACACCCATATTCAATAGGCCTATTAAGTGTAAACACCTATTTATGGGTGTTTGCTCAGATTTGTCCACACCATATTCTGCATATTTACGATATAAAATTGGTGAAATATATTCTGAGCTGAATTCTTGCTCGGATGCGAAATCAAGAACGCTGGATTATAAAACAATACAGTATTTGATTATTTACTGCGATCAGTTCGTTTTTAATGACAATAAGTTTTGTGTTTTGTATCATCAATGTGCTTTATATAAATATTGCAACAACTTTTATATTAATTTTATTTTTGAAAATCATGTATTATACCATCATGCTTACGTTGTCTCTACCAATGGCGGTCCCAAGCCTGGATGAAAAAAGAGGAAAGTTGGGCGTGGGGCTAACTACCCTACACTGTAAAAGTATATGCTACAGACACGTAGATGAAAGCCTGAACATAACATTACGTTGTACAACTGTGTGCAAAAACCCACATATTCGGTCATCTGTTCGCTTATTCATCCATTCGTTCGTTCGTTCGTGCAGTCGTTCGTTCGTTCACTCTTTCGTTCAATAGTTCGTTCGCTCTCAGTTACTTAGTTTGTTCATTCATTCATTGGCATTGGCAGAGACAACGTAAGCATGATGGTATAATACACGATTTTCAAAGGTCGTACGACCCCCCCCCCCTGAATTTTTTAAGGTCCACATTTTTTCCAAACATTTTTTCATCTAGGGCCTTTTCACAATGACATAAATGAAAAAGCATTGATGAGGTACCAGCAATGAGTCCAAAGACCTTGCCAATTGCGTGACGTAATCTATCTCAAAGCCAATTTTATTGACATTTTAATCACATCTTGCTGTTATTTAATTGTGCAAAGGTCCAAAAAATTATGATCACGACCCACCCAGAAAAAATCCTGGATACACCCCTGATCAATTGTCTATCCATCTATCCATCCATCCATCCATCCATCCATCCATCTATGTAGGCCTATTCATTCATTCGTTCGTTCGTTCGTTCATTCGTTCATTCTTTCATTCATTCATTCATTCATTCATTCATTCATTCATTCATTCATTCATTCATTCATTCATTCATTCATTCATTCAATCACTCATTCATTTGTTCATTCAACATTGGATATACCTACCCTCTGTGGCACTCTACACACTCAGTGTAGTCTCTCTAAGTTTCTTGTCTTTGCTTGAATGTAACTTGATAAACTGCCGTACTGAAGTAACTTGGTTTGTTCTGTTTGTTGTTCCCTGTGTTGCTAGCAGGCTTTGATTTTAATATTTCAATTAACTCTCGGCAGTGGAGCTCACCATTTTCAAAATACTTTTGAAAGAACTCGTGCCTAATAAAATTATGTTCCTATAGTACGTCAACTGTGTATGATTTTTTTCTCGTATCAATGTCTATATTTACATAATTTCGCTGGGAACATACGTTCTGCTTACCATCTCATTTCAATAATAATGCAGTTATCATTGTTGTTGCTATTATTCCTTTGGTTTTTTTTTAGTATAAATTTGTTATGTTGGCATTGCGTCGGCGAAATTCATTCATTTCTTGTGGGTTTATGTACAAGTAATCCAGGCAGTGTTAAATGCACTTGAGAAATCAATATAGTGTACCGGTAACCTTTCAACTATTAAATATACACATTATGGGATGGTCTCGCGAAATAATCTCGTCTGCGTCTTGTGGTCACGCATTAGACAAATGATCAGCTTTATATGGTATCTGGATCTCATTGTATTTCTCGAACACTACAGGGTCACACTGGTACTCCGAGACTCGTCCCTCTCGCTAGTCTCCTCCTATCCTATCGGGCGGCCCTCGAGACTATTTCGCGGGACCATCTCATAATATATGTATATTGAATAGTTGAAAGGTTACAATAATAGACACCTTTACATATGTTCACGGAACATCAATTTACTGATATATATTTTGGAAGTGGAAGAGAACAGCATGTCCAACACTTCGATTACTTTGATAGGCAAACTGTAATGGGTCCAAAAAGGGTTAGTTTGGTCAAATAACAAATTGAAGTACAATTTTTTTCAAGTGACAACATTAGATGTTATTGCAATAGGTCTGTAATCTGTAATCATTAAGCTCTACATTAGGTTTTTAGTTTTTGGGAGTGGCATAATTATTAAATAAGTCGTACATACTAGATGTAGTACGTAGGAGATATTAGGTAGTTTCGCCGCACGACGTTACAACTTTACGTCAGTACCCAACATGATAGCTCCGCCCCTTTTGTAAACAAAGCGAAATACGCATGCGTAAATCGGTAACTAACGTACGTCGAGCATGCACGTAAAAGCCTGAACACTCCCTATTAACGTACTCCGCAACGCAAGGTGAATAAATTATGACGCCATCCGTTTACGTTTCAAGGTTAACGTGGTGCGGCGAAAACTACCTAATATCTCGTACGTACGACTTAATTATCTCGTAGGCCTACTATTAGGCCCTATAAGTTATAATATGAGGAATTTGAGTGTTTTTCGGTGTCTTGCCACGTACAAGCTCATCTTCTCTCTTTACATTGGTTTCACTAGCATTATTTTTATGAATTCTCGATTTTATATATTTTTGACGCTTGCCCATCTCATCCACAGCGTAAAGCGCTTGTAGTTATTCGTTCATATTCACAATTTCCTTTAATTTAATTTATTTATAATATAACATTTACATTTATTGTAAAAAATTAGTATTTTTAATAATATTAGCCCAATAATATTATAGGCCTACCTAGCTTTTTTTTTTCATTGTGCGTTATAATAGACCTACATTATTTATTTTACGTTTAAATTTGATAATGTTTTATTTGCCTTGTGCTATAATTTTACATGTTGACATATGCAGTAGAAATCCGAAACACACGTTGTTGAAAGTGACACTTTTTACGTCTGCTATGTATATGTCCAATTTGTAGGGAATTATTTTACTCCGACCTCAATATATTTACGCTTCTTTAAATTTAATCTTAGGCCTATTAATGAACGTTAAAACCCGTAGTATAATTAATGACATTTAAACAATGTTTTTAATTAGATAGATTTATTTTTGTATATAGATAAGTTTCCTTAACAAGTTGCTATATTCATCGTTAGGTCTATCAAAATGTAGATATATCAGACCATTGAAAAATAAAAACGCTGAATAATGTTTGCTCTCAAAACCATTGGCGGTCAGGGGATTAGGGCAGCCGGCCAGGGCCCTCCCCTAAATATAATAAAAACAGAAAATTGTATTCAAATTTGAAGTCTTAGAGTGACATTTCGGGCTGCCCAGGGGTGCGATAATTAAAAATGTTCGTACCTCAGCCCTCACCATATCGACCCTCCATCTCTGAAGGTCCCTTCCTGGCCCCTCATTCCCTGGCCTGCCACCAAAAAAAAAAGTTTAATATATACTCATTTCATAATATATATAAATTTGTTTTTATGGGTTTATCCCATTTGCCATTAAATTTATATATATATATATATATATATAAAAACATATATTGCCTTGGTTTGGCTCTGTAATCATTAGTGGTAGTGGGACTGGTTTGGGCCCTTCCTAAGCTGGTCAAACGTTTCTTTTGGGTCTATACCCCAGCTGCACTGATGAGTCCTGGAAGGCCGAATCGGATCCGTCTGCAGATATTGGGATTCCTTCCAGTGGATACTTAGTTGTTTATTTTGTCATTCTGATCGGATTTTCTCTACTGTTCCGTTTTAATTATATATATATATATATATATATTATATATATACAACAACCATAATTAATAACAACGAGTTCTTGAAATGGCATAAGCAACTGTAAGCTTAGGAGCTGCCAGGTGTTCGGGGGTCCAGTGGCCTAAAGCCCCGGAAAAAAATTGCGTTTTTTATTGTTAACGACTCAATACTGAATATTTAGATGCGTGCTCACGCAATAGCTCTGTCAATCGGTCGGTCTATCGACTGGTCGGCCCTGCCCTTGAAAAATCATTATAATTTCGTCCTTTTTGTCCACAATTTGTTGGCGTACCGTAATTAAATCGTGACGGAAGCCGTCAAAACATAAAAAAAAACTTCTTTTGTATCCAAAAAACTTTTTTAACCAAAAAAAAAAAAAAAAAAAAAAATAGCAAACGTAATTGCTAACTACAACGAAGTAATAGTAACGAGTTTTTCAATTAGGTCCAAAGGCCCTGTGGTGTGTTCCAGGGGCCGAGGGTCCCAGACTAGAAAATAATTGCGTTTTTAATGTTTTAAGACTGAATAATGAATACTTCATGAGTAAGATGTGTGCTTTAAACATTAATAGCTTTGTCGGTCGGTCTGTCGATGGTTGGTTAATTGGTCCCCTGTCCTGGACAAATCATTTCTTTATTATAGTTTTAATAACTGGTTAATACTGTATTGGGGGTAAATCAATCGTAACGGATGCCGGTATATACAAAGTATTAAAAAAAGCTTCTACTCTATCCAAAACACATAACAAGCGTGTAATGCATACCATTTCGCGATTGTAAACAATTTATTTATGTGGAGGGGGGGGGGGGGCGGCGTGTGGATGCGTCCTCACCATCTGCCTACAGGCACATAAAGCAAAAGTTTTACAGTAATAATAAAAAAAAATAACATGAAAAACAAAATTAAATAACAGCTGACGGACGTTATGTTTAGGCCTACATATGCAACTTTCAAGGCCTACTGATTAGAAATCCCTGCCAATTAAGAAATATACTATATTTTTTTCAAGGTTATCCAATTTTTAAAAAAATTTGATGGGGCCCTCCCCCTCCTCTGGCTGCGCTCCTATTTTACTAAGGATAATTGAAGACTGGTTTTACTGAAATGTATTTTCTCCTTGATTTTACTAACTTGAGAAGTCTGCTATTCGGTTTTACGGTACATATGTGAATATACACAGTTCAATCAGGGAGTTGACTATAACAACTCCCTGGTTCAATGAAAGCAGTTTAGTCGAAATCCCCTCCTCGAAATCCACCAACGCCCAGGGTCTACATTTACAGCAACTGCGTCAACCAATCAACCAATCAGAACGCTTTATTATTACATAATGAATTGATTTTCATCCGGGAATTTGTAAATTTCAAAACCTTGACAACCACACACCAAAATGGCGGCGCCCTAGACGTAAACAAAATACTACTGTAATCTAGGCCAAACTCTTAGGCCTATACCTTTTTTTCACCATGTAATATACTTTACTATATAATAAATCCTTTGTTGATTGTATTTAATGTCCAGGAAGACTGCAGTAAAGTGCAAGCATTCATTAGGTCAGAATTTTTTCTAGGCCTAGGCCGAGACACGTCTTGGCTGGACATTCATTCGACGAACAAAAGAAGGTGAGTTGAGTGAGCTTGACTAGCCTAGGCCTAGATAGGCAAAACCTAACCTTCCTGCCTCGGCTTAGCCTAAAGGCCTAGGATAGGCCAAGCCTAGGTAGGCCCACGGCCTATTCTAGCCTCTATACTTATCTGTATATTTTAATAATATGTTTAATAATTCTAGCATATTTATAATGACATAGGCCTAGGCCTAGGCCTATAATATATAGGCCTAGGCCTAATTTTTTTTTGTGTAGGCCTACCTACCTAGGCCTTTTTAGGCTAAGCTTAGGCCTAGGCCCTAGACCCTAGGCTAGCCCTAGTCCCTAGTAGCTAGCCAGGGGCCTAGGCCAGCCCTATTTTTTTGTAGTAGGCTAAGCCTAAGCCCATTGTCTTCATATTTTCTAGCCTAGCTCTACTCTTTTGTACGAACCAATTCATCCTCTTGCTGCTGATTTGAATGTCCTTTAGGCCTATACTTGAATAAATAAATGGTAATTAAAAAGAACAAGCAAATAAATAGGTCTAGGCCTAGGCCTAAATGTTTTTTTGTTTTTTTGTTTTTTTTTTATTAGTTACATATTCTGCATCATGGATGAACGTCATTGGTGGATAGCAACTAAAATACAAGAATCCTTTCACATCGGGGGATTCAGTGACAATCCCACACTCCTTGAGGATTTTCTATGTGAATCAGAAACTCTTGATTTAATCAACAAATTCCTTGGAGAGGGGGGACCAAATAAGTTATTCTTCTACTCAGATCGACCACAAACTAGTGCACTGACTCCAAGTGGTCTACAGAGCACAAGACAATTGCATGTTATAACTTCTCTTGCAAAATTGAAAGATGTGGATGTGGAGCAGACAACTGTTTTGTATATGCTTCGGCATACCACCGAACATGAGGTCGATCAAGTACACATGGAAAAGGACATATTCTGTGGGGAATTGCGACACAGCGTGTTGGAAAATTTGAATACACTTCTGTCAGATATCTACTTGCCTTTGTTACAAGCTCAAACTGACTGGGGACATTGTACTCCAGATCAAGTCAGTCAGTGTCTGAACAGTCTGGATAAGCATGCTGCTGCTCTTGCCGAGACAGTTAAGGTCCCAAATACTGCAGCTCGTCAGCAGGTAAATTTAATAGATAATTGAAAAAATAAAAAATGCATTAAAAAGATTGTATTGATGATGTGGAAATAAACTTTATATTGAATTGAAATGAAATTGAAAATATACACAGACAAATTATACATAATTAAAACTGTCTTAATAACTCCTCTGAGCATTACAAATATATACATTTTAATATTTTTTTGAGAAAATTGCATTGTCTCTATCAGGATTCGAACCTAAGACCCTCTAATTACAGTTCAGTTCAGTTCTACCAAAAGAGCTGCAAGGCCAAGTGGTATACCCTTGAATTTTTCCATTAGGGCATGTATTCTTCTCATTGCATAATATGAAATGAAATAAATAAAGATAACACATAATAGGAAATATAATAGAGAAACACTTTCACTGTATTTGAGATATTAATTATTTTTTAATGCATTAATACATGTTTACAATAGAGTAATTATTAACTATTCTTCATGTCATTGTTATATTTTTTTTAATTCAAATAATATTTTGTTGATTTTGTTGTGGTTCCAAGTAATGTACATGGTAGGCCTAACAAGTAATTCATGACATTTTTTAACATCAAATATTGTGACAGGTTTATTAATGTTGTAACTAAATGTTTTTTAAGTTTGCTTGCTATTTACTTTATTATTAACTGGCAGTATAAGAAAAGATGGCCGGTACATGATATTGTGGTAAGCTATGGTATAGTAATGCAGTTTGAATTCCCATCCTGCCTCTGTTTTCATGTAAACCATTCCTTTGCATGTTACAATAATTGTAATTTGTTAAGTTATGCATGAAAACTTTAATTTTCAAGTTTGTGACTGTCATTAGAATTTATTTATCTTCACCTCTCCCAATTATTTGAGAGGATGACCATTTCTGGTTCTATTCTATAAAACTCCCAGTCTTTCATCTGTTAAAAGCTATATTGGTGGTGGTTGAAATTTAAAATCCAAATCAATAGCAAAGTAAACTAAATAGTGCAAAAAAATTAAGAACGCTATAATTTTTATTCCTGTTGAAAGAATGCCATGTGACTTTAGTATGTTATTCGTTAATATTGGCAACTTTTTCTACTATGAACCATGAAATTCTGAATTCCTTCACAGCTCTTTGGATTGTAGCTGAAAGGCTTAAAAACACATTCTTTAGAAGAAACAATTATTTTCTATGACCAATTACATTGTTTTCTCTTAGAAATAGTATAGATTCACACCCTACCTTATGGACTCACATAACACTACCAAGGTGATCTGAGCCCAATGAAGAGAATCATAGAATCCTTGTGCACTAAACTAAACCCACTCTTAGGTACAGTATTTATGCACATGCTGGCCAATTTTACTTTCTTTTTTCATCTTTGCACATTTCTGTTCTTAGTTGCTATCCAAATATCAATTATTTTTTGTAAAATATAGATCAAAAGGGGATTGATACATTTAATAATAATAATAATATGATTTATATAGCACCTTTCCAAGATGATCAAGGCACTTCACTAGGAGAACATTAGCAGTACAGTAAAATTTTACAATAATTATAGTTATTTACAATAGGAATACAATAAGTAATCAAAATAGAACCAACATAAAAATACAATTATAAAAGTACAAATGCGAACGAAAATTAACACCATATTATTTTAACAATCAATTTAACAATTTTAAAAGAGTTATTATGATAACTTATAGACAATTTGACATTCAAAAAACTAATTAAAATTCTCTATGTATAGTCAATATCTACAATTATAATTACTTTTTCATGTTTATAAAAATATGATAAATGTTAAAATCAATAAATATACTTATTTTAATCAGATAATTATTATAGAAAATTTGACATTAAAAAAACTAATTCCAAATTCAGTATGTAAAATCAATTAATATCTATAATTATAATTACTTTTCCAAGTTTATAAAAATATAATATATATAAAAGTACAATTAATAGAGTATACTTATTGTAATTAAGAATATTATTATAGAAAATTTGATATTCAAAAAGCTAATTCCAAATTCAGTATGTAAAATCAATTAATATCTACAGTTATAATTACTTTTTCATGTTTATGAAAATATAATAAAAGTTAAATGAATAAAGTATACTTATTCTAATCAGATAATTATTAACAATTTGACATTCAAAAAACTAATTCCATATTCAGTATGTAAAATCTGTTAATATTTACAATTATAATTACTTTTCCAAGCTTATAAAAATATAATATAAAAGTACAAACAATAGAGTATACTTATTGTAATTTAGAAAATTATTATAGAAAATTCAACATTCAAAAAACTAATTCTAAAATTTAAAAAACTAATTAAAATATAAAAAGAAGATATGAAAATAGGAATTATTTGTTTGGTAGTAGTTTAATACTTACATGATCTCTTACCTAAGCCTGGGGTCACACTGTGTCAGCTGACATCACTCAACCGTGACTGATGAAACCGCTGTAATACTAGGCCTGCTTATCGTTTGTGGCAGTGCAACTGTTCGTTGTTGAATACAACATGCATGCATCGTTATGTGTGTTTTGACATAACTCATAGACCTTTTAGCAAGTAAAGCTGAATACATCTGGTTGTAACATGTGTAATTGCAAAAATAAGATAAGAATTGTGTTAATTGCAGGTGTTACGAAGGCCAGAGATCCTTGTGAGTAATGAATTTAGTAAACATCGTTCCACATCCTACGATGGTAACATCATCTCAGAATACGAAGCCTTAGTTACCGAGTGGATTTCAACCATTGATAATGCTTTGACCGATGGTGGAGATGAAAGGTACAAACTATATTATATACTGTATATAATAATAATAAATGAGTGTTCCTAAAGTTGTTTAAACTTTTCCATAAAAATGTGATTTCTGCTATAAAATTTCATCACAAAATATGGTTTGAAAAATGATAAATATTGTTTGCTATTTTCACATATTTCTGTTTAAAAGTTTATTACTCTGTTTTTTTTATGCCTTTACCATTCCTTAGTTTTTTGGTCCATTTAATTATTACACCACTGCTAATGAATGATTTAACCTCCAATTAAGACTGTGTTTTACACCAACGTAGTAGGTGAAGTATTACTACAGATTATAAGTTTGTGTACCATCATACAATGACTCTCAAATCCTCCACGTTTCTAAAGATTCATGGATCCTAATTCTGGACCGTTGACGGAACTTGAACGATGGAAACGACGCCAGAGAATGCTATCCAGTATAATGGAGCAATTGAAGGGCAAAGAGTGCAAGACTGTGATTGGTGTACTGATCAGCTCCAAGTCAAAGGTCATCAAGAAGTGGAAGCTGATAGATGCAAGGTTGGTATTAATATTGGACATAAACTATGTTACATTAAGGCCCATTGGTCTTTTAAACTAATATGATTGTCCATTAGCCAATGACCTTATTGTTTAATTATGTATTTATCTGCAGTATTACAGATGCCGCTAATGAGACAAAGGACAAAGTGAAGTACCTGGAGGCCCTTCGACGTCACTTTGAACAGCTGTACAACGGTGCTACTCCAGCTAGCATAGTGAATACTGCATTGCCAGGCCTTGTAAACAGCGTCAAGCAGATGGATTCTATATCACGATTCTATGCTAGAGGGGGCTATTTAGGCCTGCTCTTCACCAAGGTTAGTAGCTTGAATTTTGTAATGGATGGATGGAAGGAGGGAGGGAGGTAGAGGTGAGGGAGAAAGGGATGGATGGAGAGATGGATTGAGGGAGGGGAGGAACTAGTGAGAGATGGAGGAATAATAGATGAACAGGCAGACAGAAAAAAAATAAGTGAATGAGAACATGAAAAAAACAATAATGGTATGAAAAATTTCTATCATTAGGTATAGGAACGAATGATCAATTAGTTTTCTTTTTCACCAGCATTGTCATACAGTACTCTAAATTTATTTCTGCTATACAACCAATCTAGATTACAAATCAGCTGGTGAATGCTTGCAAAGACTACCTCCGCAATGCAACCATCAGCACTGAACAAGAGGATCAGCTCTGGCCTAAGATGTATGGAGAGATTGACACCAAGGTTGCTTCTGGGGACTTGATCAGCAAGCCTAAGACCACTAGCAAGAGGAAGGGTAAAGAGAAGGATGCTGATGCGGACACGTTATTTGGAAGAATGAAATCTTGTCTTAATCTTTATGTAAGGAAAAGCTCAATCTATTGTTGTTTTCATTTATGTTGAAGTTGAAATGATGATATCACTATTGACTTGTAATAATAATTCAACAATATGATTATACTATTGGATTATCTTTTGTAGAATTCTTACAAAGAGATGGTGCGTTGTCTGCGAGACAGTCTAGGGGGTGCTCATGCCCTCACACATTTCCCATCAATCAGCTCAATAGGGGCTCCAACATCAAAGTCAAGTAGAGGTTTTGTTAGAGGATATGCTTCTAAGCCATCTAAAACGCCATCAGTTGCAGGTAACTGAACATTGCCAGTTATGTCACTGATGAAAATAACATTTCTGCTTTATTTAAATTTTATTTAATAATCATCATTATCATTATCATAATCATTGTTATTATTAAATACTCAACAATATACTTTATTTTTTTACAGGTGATTTTACTGATGGTCATGGAATCCCTTTCACTGATGAGGAGTCCATATTTGGTCATATGGATTCCTTTTGTGGGCGTGTTCGTCAAGTGATTGATTCTGTCTACACTTTGATTCAGTACAGTAAGCTGATCATAACTATAGAGGGCTTACCACGTCCTCTCAAGGATGATCTTCAGCTGGAGGACTTTGACGATGTTGACACTACTGCTACTGTGTCAAATGTCCCAGAATCGATTGGTAAGGATGCATTAATTCAATAGAAATAGGATTCCAAGTGAGCCAGTCTAGAGCTGTGCCATCAGGTGCTGGTTACCCCTCTTATTATTTTGATAATTATGATTAATAATATTTTTATTATGATCATATGACAAGTGTTAATATTATTAAAATTTTTTAAATATTTTCAGTTACATCTTATGACTCACCAGCCATATCCATAAGTCCTCTTCGAGGTCCACACACCCATAAAATACTGCCTGTGGTAGAGGAGGAGGAAGGAAGTAACGAAGATGAGGATGAAAATGAGGACACCACAGGTGACAATGAGATGGGAACCAATGAGATGGTATCCAATGCTGATGAAGTTCATGAATTAGCTGTCACTTCAACAAAATCTGGTCTCACTCTTCAAGATGTAATGATTTTAAGTAGGTTTACTCTTAATGTTTTTTTTTAAAAATCAATTTTACTTTTATCATGTAGCTGTTGGTATGTTATGTATGATGAATTTTAACTTGAACCTATTCACTGAATTTCATATCTTCCTCTTTTTTTTATCACTTTTTTTCAATTTTATCCAATTTTTTCTTTGACTTTGTCTTTTCAGCTTTTTATTTCCACTACCTCTTCCTTTCATTTTACTTTCAGTGACGGACAGGACAAACCCTTCCATCTGCCATGGTATAAAAAATTCTAGAAAAGCTTAAAATTGCCCAGTATTTCTAGGTGCCAAGAGCATTAGACTCTACCGTCAGAAAAGTTAGCACCACTCCTCGCTCCACCCCCTCCCCTCCCCCTCGAATATATATCCTAGAGCCACCATTGTCTATTCTTACTGCTTCTCATTCATCCTTTACTTCCTATCCTACTCTTTCTCTATTCTCCATCTACCCATCCTACTCAATATTGTTCATTTCCCTACTTTTTTTTCAATCTGATTCTTATCCTCCTCTTCCCAATCAAGTACAGTACTATTACTGAACATCTGTCTATCTTTCCTTATTGTCCAGGAAAGCTTTTTAATGCTGATGACCCAGAAGATGAAGGTCCCAGTATTTCATCCATTGTCCGTGACCATGTAATCAGTATGAAAGCACTACTCTCCAGTAACATCACAACAGAGATCATGCTGGACGTGGAAGGCAAAGAGAAAGAGAAATATGGCGAAGTACACATGGAATTTCAAGGAACTGTCCAACAAATAGAAGCCTACATGTGTGCTTATCTTCATGCAGTCTTCCTGCGGAAAATGAAAACACATCAGTCATTGGACATTCTCACAAGGTAATCACCACATTTGTATCTCGAATCACAACTCCTGTAAGCAGCATTAAGCCATCTGATGTTTTTAAATGCACATTTCTATTTTGACTCTTAATTTATTTGCAAGACTCCTGTTTATTTAAATGTAGGTTTTTACCTGTAATGCATCGTCAAGGTGTAAAACATGCCATCACTGAGAAATACATGGATATGTTCACAGCATTTGAAACTGACCTGGAAGAAGTCAAGGATATTTATGAGAAATATAAGGTAATTTGAATATTTAAGCAGTATTTTTAATATTGTTTTTTATTATAAAATTATTATAATGTCATAATTTTCACTGTTCATGAATGGTACCCTTATTTTATTCAAACAATTTTTTACACAAAACAAAAAATTATATACTAACACTGATAATAATAGTAAGTAATCTATTATATCCACTTCAATATTTTGTAAGACATTGCCTGATAAATGCTCATTGATGATAAAAATATAGAAAAACCATAAATTATGGCAGTACCTCAGTACTTGGAACCATTCTTATGTACTGTCCCCATAGCTTAGGTCTAGTTGTCAATTTAGTTGACAATTTAGTTGATGGGGAGCAACATTACCTCGATGGGATAATTGGTATTTGGATTTTGCTGAAAATTCTTCTGGGAATTATTTGGATCTTGTTGGTTTAATTGTCTATCCGCCTTGAGCACCTCTGGTGGAGATGTGCGCTTTATAAATCTTTATTATTATTATTATTAGTTTAGGTAGAGTACGATGTCTGCTATTATAGTTTTCATTAACATTGTATATAATTATTTTTATTTATCATATTGCAGGATGAACCAATCAAGATGAGGAATGCTCCGCCTGTTGCAGGAGCTATCCAATGGTCTCGTCAACTTCTACAACGTATTGAGGAACCAATGAAAGTGTTCCGCGATAACAAAGCCATCATGCACATGAGAGAATTCTCGCGCATCGTTAAGTTCTACAATCGCATTGCAACTGCCCTTGTTACTTTTGAAAGTCTGTGGTTCAACCATTGGAAGACACTGATTGAGCCAGCCAAGGCAGGTCTGAAGGCAACGCTTCTAGTGGTACATCCAGAAACCAGATGCATTGTGGTTAATGCTGATGAAAGGTCAGTTCACATCTTGACCTTTGTTGTTTTTACTGGTCAATTGCCTTTTCTTTTGGTCAGTCTTTTTTTCTTTCTGTTTCAGTCTTTCCTCATTTCCTAAAATACGTCATGACATCGGCAGTCATTCTCTTCAGCAAAGTCACCAATCATCATAATCTTCAGTAACAGCAACACCAGATTAATATATATTATTATTTCTTACTATTTTAGAGTTCTTCAAATGATGCAAGAGTGTCGCTGGATGAGTAGACTTGGTATCAGTGTACCTGAAGCAGCGTTGCTTGTTGCTAAGCAGGTATGATTAACATTTAACATCTTGCAGTTTATGTGTATACACTTTATCTTATTAGTATTAATGTTTATTTGTTTTAGTTTGGGCTTACATGTTAAAAGCTTTGAGCTTGTTTTGCCAGCCCTTTCCCATTCATTTGTCTTTGTATCCATTGATTTTATACTGTGACTTGTTTTAATTGTATTGTGTTTGAAGTTGGAAGTGAATTTGTATATTGATTGAAAATGATTATTATAATATTAATGATGCTATATGCATTCTTAATTTTTTTTTGTAGGAGCATCGTTTCAAGAGCTACCAGAACCACCTTGTTCAATGTCTGAATGAACTTAATGAGGTGTCGGCAATGATCCCACAGCCACTGGAACACCTCTTCATTACCCACACCAGTAACGTTATCCAGGCCTTGCAACCAGGTCTCACCACCCTTGCTTGGAACTCTATGAATATTGATGCCTTTCTCCATCAAGTTCGAACAGGTGAAGCTGCAGCTGTGTGGAGCAATACTCCATATTGGCGGCCAGTTTATTAATTATCGAATTATCCTTTGAAATTTATTGTTAGATATGCAACAAATTATTGATTCTCAAAATTCATGTTCTTAACTGTATGTTCTTTTCCCTTAGCCATTATGAAGTTGAAAGTAACAGTTGATGCTATAAACAACATAACCAAGAATACCATTGAGGCGAAACTGAAGGCCATAAGCCAACTGTTCTTATTTGATATTGAGACAGCATTTGGCCGTTCATGGGTAAGCAGCACAAGTCCGCAATTAAGCTACTTAAATATTATAAAGTTAAATACAGTAATATAACTCTATTTATTATTTTATACAATAAATAATAAGATGGTTGGTGAGAAACTCCTAATCCAGTGTTTAGGAGTATGTTGGTGTGAATCACACCAAGGATAACCCACTAAGTACAAAGACTTATTTCCAGTGGTGTCCTTCTGGTGGTGGATTGGGCAGTACACTGGGAGACAATACCCTATTTAATTTCGAAAAGTGTACTGCACTTTTTAACGTGCACATGGGCCATATTGCACACAGGACCAACGGCTTAAACGTCTCATTCAAAAGACTTGTATTTCAGCCCTCCAGCTGAAACACAAGGAGAGCAGCGATG